AGAAGGTTTACTTAGTAAAGAAAAAAGTTTTTTTTTTGAAACCTATCTTTTTAATATAAATTCTATAAAATTTTTTTTAAAGGTAACATGAACCAATGAAATACATAGAAAAATGTCAGCAAAATTAATTAGTAATGAAGAATTGCCAAATAGTAGAAGGTAGACTAGTTTATAAGATCTGTGACTAGGTTTGAGTTTTTAATTTTTTGCTAATTCTTAGACCTCAATGTTATTAACTCTTAGGTCTCAATATTACAATATTAGTTTTAAAACCTGGTCGGTGACCAGGTTCGAGTTTCTAATTTTTTTTTAATTCTTAGACCTCAACATTACTAACTCTTAGATTTTAACGTTATTAACTCTTAGGCCTTAATATTAGGAGTTTCTAATTTTCTGATAATTCTTAGACCTCAACATTATTAAATTTTAGGCTTTAATATTATTAATTCTTAGGCCTTAATGTTATTAATTCTTAGGCCTTAACATTATTAATTCTTTAGGCCTTAACATTATTAATTCTTAGATCTCAACATTATTAATTCTTAAGCTTTAATATTTTTTTATTAATTCTTAAGCCTTAATGATATTAGCTTTTAGATTAGTTTTAATATATTAGATTTTTAATTTAAATGTTTTCAGATTTAATTTTTAGATTCTAAATAATTTATTTTATATACAATTAATTAAATAATAATACTTTTATTTATATATAATTAATTATTAAATAATATTACTTATAGACTATATATATTAATTATTAAATAATAATACTTTTAAACTATATACAATTAATTAAATAATAATACTTTTAAAACTATATACAATTATATACAAACTATATACAAATTAATTAATAAAATATTTTTAAAACTATATACAAATATATACAAATATAAACAAAACAATTATATACAAATTAAGAACTATAAAGATCTCCAGAATCCCAATTTCTAACTTCTTCTCTTTGACGATCTGGCATAGAAATAACAATTTTTTTAGCTTCTCTAGATTTAATAACTTCTTCAGTTTTTGCTTCTCTAGAAACATCTTCATAATCAAAAATTTCCCTATATATAATGTTTTTAGTATATATACCCTCCTTTCTCTCTATATGACTATTTATAACTATAACTTTAATTTTATTATTTGATTGGACTCTTGACAAAGCTACATATAATTGGCCATGAGTAAAGACAGGCTTGGGTAAATATAAACTCATATTAAGAATTGTTTGGACTTGTGTTTTGTTTATAGTCATTGCAAATGATAATTTGATGGAAAATTGCCTTTGTACTAATTGAAAGCAAAGATTGGTATCTGATAGTGTTAATCTTACTCGAGGTATGAAGACTCTTTTTCCTTTGTTAATACCTGTTAAGATTTCAGTATCAATAAGATATTTATAACAGGCTTTAACAATTAATCTTGTACTATTACATAATCCTTCAGATGTATTAAGATTATGTAAAAGAATGATAGGTACATTTTCTTTGAGAGTCAAGCAGTAAGGTGGCATTCCACTTGGTATCAAAGTATTTAAAAATTCTATTGGATAAAGACTTGTATCAACTTGATTTTGATCCTCAACAAAGTTAGCAGAAAGATATACATATTCTTTTGGATCAGGAAGTTGGTCAAGTATATGATTATTAATAAGTTCAACATTAATATTTTTTGTTGAAAGAATTGCCCTCTCTTGAATATAGTCAGAATCTTGATAGTTTGTATTAATATCATCAAAGACCTCTGATATTAAATCATCAAGATTTTCACTATCCAAGGTCATATGATCAGGCAATTTTATAATATCTTCAGGAAGATCAGAATCTACTAGTACTCTTCCTTCACCAACTTCTAATAAGAATTTAGCAAATTTTTCTTGTTCAGAATCATTTTGATTTAGAACTCTCATGTTAGTTGTTAATTTCATACTATGAACATTTTTCCAAAATTTTGAAGATTTTATGCATGCATTACCAACTTGACCCCTTGAACCTTGAATAACAACAGATAAAATTTGTCTAAAGTCACCACCAAAAATCATTATTTTCTCTCCAAAAGGTTTTTCCTTTCCTCTGTTACAAATTTAAATAATTTGTCAACTGCTTCAAATGCATGTCTATGCAGCATTGGGCCTCATCCCACAGAATAGCTTTGGCACCTCTGATTAATTGAGCTATATCAGATTTCATTTCAATATTATAGGTTGAGTCTTCAGCCAAATTTAATTGAATTTTAAATCTTGAATGAGCAGTTCTTCCACCACTTATTAATAACACAGCAATTCCTAAAGATGCTATAGCAATTGCATTTAAACTATATTCTTTTGATCTTATATAAGCCAAGATCAAATTATATAAAAAGGTTTTTCCAGTTTCTCCAGACCCATCAATAAAAAATAAATATTTGTCAAATTTACCATTAAGTGCTGCAACAATAGTATCATATATTATTTTTTGTTTAGGATTTAATCTATCTCTATCATCATTTAATATTTCCTTAAGCTAATTTTGATCAAAGTTTAGTTCCTTAGCAGCAATGGTATTTTGATAATTTTCGTCTTCTAATAAAGCATAGTTTGGAGGAAGTCCTGTAATATCACTAACAGCCAATCTATTTTAAATTAAATATTTTTCAATAATGATTAATACTTTTGTGATATTTAATTCTCTATTATTACTTGTTAATTGAAAATCTTCAATTAAATGCTCAATATATTTATCCCAAAGCTCTTTTACATTAACCGGTCGACAGTAAACTAATATAAAGGCAAATAAATGTCTTAGTTGTGCAGGCATTTTAAAGTTTTTTGCCTCCTCAAGACAATTAAAATATTCACGGTCATTATCAACCAACCCAGTATGAAAGGCAGCTTCAAAATAAAAACTATATTCTTTAGTATCTATAGTTCTTAAATCTTGAAATGATGTAATACCACATTCTACATTTAATAAAGCTTTTAAATAAAATCTCCCTGTATCTTTTGGATTAACAAAATATATTTGAGAGATAATTTTGCACCACGTTGCTTTCTTCTTTGCTAATTATTAGTATTACTATTCCAAGTAAAGTGTTTTGGAATATTACAATATCTTAAATGTTCAAAAAATTTATTATTAGGATTATTAGCACAAAGTTCAAAATATCTTATCAACTTTGTATGCTTTTCTTTTTTAAGAGCTGATGATATTGATTGAGACAGTTGAAAAGTAACAGATTGCTTTTCAGGCAAATAAGCAGAAAGCTTTTCAACTATTGTAAACCAAAATTAAATAATCTCCAAATTCCTTTGGAAGCAGAAATATATCTTGTATTCAAATAATTTCTAATTTCATTATTTGGATTATGATGATTTTTTACTACAGATATTAAAACTCTATCCTATCTCTTAAAACATATTTGTAAAGATATTTAACTGATCTAACACTTGAACATATCTCTATATTAAGAATGACAATTATATTTTTGACTTAAGTATAGATTATAAGGAACAATCCATCTATTGTCAATAGGAATTTTTATTCCCTTTTTATAAATTTTTCTTGAATTTATTCTTCTTCTATATACAGGATATCCAGTTTTATTTGTTGTTGTTTCTGCAATAAAATATCTTGGAAAATATTTACTTCATTTTCTATTAATCATGCATGGAGAATCTGTATTAACTTTTCCACAGGGTCCATAAACTATACAATTGCTAATTATATTATAATTTTGGTTGTGTATCTGGATCTGGTATCTCAGCAAATATAATTTGATCATAATCTTCAGATGCTAATATAAGTAATATATGAGCATGTGGCAATCCTCTTTTTTGAAACTCAACTACTGTATTTCCCCAACATATGTACCCGGGGTATTTCTCTATCCCATTTTAGTACCTGAGTACACATGTGGGGGGATATATTGTATAAATATGAATATGGTTTATTATGTTCTCCCAAGTACAGAAGTATGATAGCATTATACTTAGGTACCTGGGTATAAGTCAAAAATTGGCTATCAAAATTGTTACAAGGTAAATTGCACGGGGGTCTATATGTTGGGTAAATACAGTATATATATATATATGGGTGGAGTCAATAGAAAAGAGACAAAATTTTTCTAAGTAAAAGTTTTCTTGACTTTAAACTTAAATATCTCAGCAATTATCTTATCAAATTTAATAATTGTTTTTTTATTTTAATTCTTTATAATTTCAAAATTAAAACAAAAAAATTTTGAGCAAATTTGATTAATTAGTTGTTGAGATATTTTAATTTAAAAATTAAAAAAATTTACTAAAAACAATTTGTCCCTTTTCTATTGACTCCACCCCATATATATACAATAACTTTTCCCAATACACCATTTACAACTAAATTATTGATTATTGCATCTAATTTTAATTTGAAAACCCTTGTTTTCAAATCTGGCCTATTGGCAGATTTTTGTTTTGGTAAAAGTTCAGATATAATCTCAGGCCATTTTGGATTACATGTTACTGTTATAAACAGATCAGGTTTTCCAAATTCTCTAACAATTGCCATAGAATCTTGGTACAATTGTTGTAAATATCTTGTAGACCCAGTAAAGCTTGATGACAAAATAATCTTTTTGCCAACTTCATCAAGATTGGCATCTTCATTAGAAATCATATCTTGCAATCCTTGATAGATTGCTAATCTTAAATCTTTTTGATTTTTGTAATGCCAACTTAAATTATTTGTTTCCCACTTCACATACTAGTCTACTATATATTGTTAAAACAATCTGTCTAAAAGATGCAGAATGCTATTATTTTTGCTATCATAAACCTATAAGCTGCAAACTCTCTAATAGTTACTGTTTTTTTTTTTTTCTTTTTTGGTTTTGGTTGAATTTTTGATAGTCACCATTATCATCATCATCACTATTATCATCATCACTATCATTATCTTTATTAGATAGTCTTTCTGATTTAGAGATTCTATCTTTATCAAATTCAACCTTTTTGCTTTTAGATACCAATTTTTTTTTTATTACAAGATCATAAAGATTATTATAATCTTCTGTTTGAGCTTGAACTTCTTCTGTTTCTTCTCTAGCTCTTTTTTTTTCTTTTTTTATAGAAGATCTACTTTTCAAATATTCTTTATCACCTGTATTAATATTTTCATCACATCATTAAGACTCATTATACTTGATGAACTTCTAATAGTTGCAGATTTCAAAACACTTGTTAATCCTGTTTCACTTTGTGATTCTTTTTCTAATAAAGTATCAAAGTCAATATTAGAGATATCACTTGCTCTAGCTTCAACTTCAAAAGTTTTAGAGGCCTTAGGATATTGAGCCATCTTTTTTTAAGAGCTCTTTTTTTTTTTTTTCTTCTATTTCTTTTGCATGGGCCTTTATTTTTTGTTTAGTCTAATACAAATAATCTGGTTCATAATAATCATCATCATCGAGCTCTTCTCTGCTTACGAAGCTTTTAGGCTATTACTTCTTGGAAGAACACAGGGGAAACAACAAACAACTTGAAATTTCAATACACTCCTTTGAAAATTTTAAAGTCCTTGCAGATATACACCCTCAACCATATTCCCGCTATATTTTTTAGGAAATTTTTTGCTAACAAAAAGTAGAAAAATCGGCTTACCCCCTCCAAAAGATCTGCATTGTTTACATGGTCCCAGTGTGGAACGGGACACTCCCAATTACAGTAACTGGTAGTATGTGATGTGCTTTTTTAGACTGCTATCGGCAGGGTACGAATTAGGGGTAAACAAGAGTTATGAGTCTACGTGTAGAATAATAACTGACATTGATGTGAAGTAGAGGATTATCTAAGAATTTCTTGCAGGGCTAACTCTACCCCGAAGGTGAATTTAAATATAATGCGAACTTTATTTAGAGTAGAGCTAAATAGAAGAGTATTATATAAATTTTTCAACAACCTAACATTTCTGTTAGGACTTATTTCTTCCTGTCTGTTTTTTTCTTTTTTCACAATTTGTACCTTCTATTTTCTTTTTCATTTGTTTTGTTTATTTTTCTTTTTTTTGGTCATTTTTTTGGAAAAATTCTTTTTGTTTTTTACTCTCTTTATCTCGTGCTCTTTGAGAAAAGAAAAAAATTAAAAGTGAAAAAATTTAGTTTTGACATGGTGAACAACAACCTGTCAGTAATCAAGAGATGTACCCAAGTCAGAACGAAATCCTTAGCAAGTTAAGGATCCTAAGAGAGACTAATCGTTGTTTTAGCTGGTTGCATTGGGCTTCGGCTTGGTGAGTTTTTATTAGATTAGAACTTAAACTTTAAAGAAATTATGTACACGTTGCTAGTCTATAAAGTTGTTCGAATAAATAAAGACAAGATTGCTTAAAAAAAAAAAATGAAACCAAAAAAAAATAATAATAAAATGAGATTTTATTACTGAAGTATTTACTACACCTGATTGAAATCAAATATTGGAATAGCAGATATTGTGATTTTATAACACATGATCCAAAATAAGCAGCATATTTTAAAGAAGTGTTAGTATTGAATCTTCTCAATACTATCAAGACAAATTATAAGACTAAGCAAAAGAAGACTTATTTAAGCCCTGATAGTAAGACTATAAGATCCAAGCTATAAAAATTTGAACTAAGTCTTTTCATATTTCTATTCGAAGCTTTCTACTTTAGAGTTTTAGTTTTATCTCTTTGCTGTTGGTTATCACCTTCTCAACATGTACTAACATTAAAGATGTTATAGTTTAGTCTAGTTTGATCTAGTTATAAAATAACATTTATGTATTTTAAATATTAATTCATAAGCTAGACCAAATTAAAAACTATTACCAAACACTTATATAGCTATTTTTAAGAAAAATATATAAATAAATTTCAAAATAATTATTTATAAAGTAGTAATATTTTAGCAGTATCAAGATTTAGTAAAATTTACTACTAGTAAAACTTAATTAAAAACAGTACTATCTAAAAATTTTATTTAGCTATTTTAGATACTAAAAACTAATTAAATTTAATTATAACAAATTAGAATTAAATCTAAAACTTTAAAAATTAACAGAATTAAACTAAACACATTTTTATAGTATTAACAAAAAAATTAATTTAATTTAATAGAATAGTTACTAAGAAATTGATTTTTAAAGTAATTTTACTATTTTGAAAAATTATATATGTTGTATAACTAGAAGTTTACTTAGAAAAAACATAATAATTTTAAAATTTTTACTGAAAATTTTAAAATAACTTTAAAAACTAAACTACTTGTGAATGAAGTCACAAGGTGGTGCATTATTGTGAGTTACTAGGCCCACTATATAATAGTGATTACAAGACTTATTTATATAAAGTAGAGAATTTTGATATTTAAGTAATCCAATAATCTAGAGGATCTTAGTTCTTGAATTTTTCTGCTTGACATATTTTCTAGCTAGCCCCCTCCACACTCTCAAAATAAGAAAAGTAAAGACAGCCTACTGGTGCTGAGACCAAAAAAAAAATTGAAAAAGAAGAAAGACAACAATACTCACAAATTTGATTATGTAATATCTTGCAGCTTGTTTGTAACTCTTATTTTATACTATACTATGTTATTAGGCACAGATGTATTGTTGACCACAGAAGCTATTTATTCAAATAAAAGAGTAGCTTCTATGATAAACAATAATAATAATTTCTTAATAACTATTTTATTAAGAATAGAGTATATATAAATTATTTTTATAATATTAATTATGACTCTACTATAGTGGCCTACCATATTATTATAGACACCTTTTAAAATCTTATATTGAGCTAAATAAATAAGATATAAATCTAAAAATTATACAAATTATTATTTAAATCTCAAATTTTTAAATAA